GTAGATGTGTACAGTCTTCAGCCATTGCACCAGTAAAAGGACTGTAAGAGCTTTGTTGCTAAGGGATGGCCTCAGCATGAGTTTTGATTATGAATACTGTGCATCTATCGGACACAGTGATCTGTACAGAGCAGTGACAATCACAAGTCGTCACCAGCTGTGGCTGCCAGTGCATTGCAACTCTCCAGCAGCCTGTCTGCCTCCAGCCCTGGAGCAGGAAGCTTGGAGTAGAGTAAGGTGGCTCAGCTTAGCAGGTACCTCCCTTTGGGGGCATCAGTGAGACCTCAGCCAAGCATTTTCTGCGTTTCCACACTGGGGTGATGGATGTGGGCTACCTTTTGCTATACCTGGCATTATCTTGTGAAACCTCTCAAGCAGGTCAGCTTGTGGATTTGAGGACTGAGAATGTCAGTGCCATTTCCGCTCCCCACCCAGTATTTAGGGTTTAGTTAACAAATCCTCATCTCCCTTGATGGTAAGCTGGAGTTAACACAAGCACCAGCGAGCCACCCAGAAGAACACACCATGAACTCTAATTGAATGTAGGTGACCATTCAGCAGAGCAACCTGCACTTCCAGGGGTCAGCAGGCTTAAAGCACTAAAAATCCCAGTGCATCTCCTGGTCAGTACGGAAGTTTGTGTGTCACATAAATTGTGCACCAAATATAGGCAGTGGTGCTCAGGTTGGCCATGTTAGATTTCTGATTCCTGCCCCTGAAGCTTCAGCACTGCTTTGCTGCAATCCCCTCAGGCTTTGTGTGCAAATGTGCTCAGACCATAACTAACATGGGACACCAGCACAGCAATAGCAGCTCACAGGCATGGCTGCAGTGACCTTTGTCAGCCCCACTGGAGCCTCTAGCCAGGCTACAACAGCCCAGAAGTTACAGCTTCCACCCAGTCAATAGGATAGTCCAGGTCTTGTCTTGTCTTGTCTAACCTAAGCTGGGAGTGTTTGGACTCATGGCTCCCACATCATAGAGGAAGGCAATCAGCAGGGTGAGGAGAATTAAGGAGAAAGCATCCCCCTTTTGAAGCTATCTGTCCTGCAAGGAGGAAGGCAGGGTTCACAAAGGCTACACAGCATACAGAGTAAGGCCCTCACCAACAGCCTAGCAAGTGAAGCTTGGCAAGTTCACAGTCCCTGACTTGCAGAATACCTACACTTTTTTCCTTTTTTGTAAGTCAATGAGTAAGATTAAGCTCTAAAAGTCACGGTCACTGATTGATACGGCAGTAAAAGCTGCAAAAGGTTCAGAAGACTTGAATTTTATCAAATGAGGAATACTGGCAATTTCAGGACCATCCAATACAACTCTGATACTGGCCAAAGCAAAGCTTAAGAGCCAAGCTGAACCTGCATGCTGCAGCTCTGGGCATAGCACCATACCATGTAATTTTTCTTGCCTCTCTTCTTGCAAGCTATTTATACCACCCCCTCTCCATGTAGGCTGCAGCTGCCGCTGTGCCTGAGCATCTCAGGCAGAGTGAGCTGCTCTCTGAAGGATGCTTTCTTCTAGGAATCAGGACACAAAAGCCGCTGAAGTGTATTGTTCAGCATGTCCCAGTGAAACAGGAAATTCAGGATGGAGAGCAGGATGGAGGCAGTGGTTGTCACTGATCCATGTTGCTCTTTGCACAGGACGGAGGCTGAAGCATCTGAACATGAGAAGAGCATTGATATATGCCTAGTGGGGAGTAGAATATAAAGGAAGCAGAATCTACATCTGCTTTTGAACTGTTTACAAAAAAGCTAACTCACACTTCCTGCAAGATGGTGGAAAGCCCAGCATTCCTGGAGCATGTGCAAACCTCAGGAGAACTCTTTAGCTGACTGATGGCTGTCCACACTAAATTAGTGGGAATGGACTTGAGCTGACACTGAATACTTCTGAAAATGTATTATTTTCTCACCTTTGATTAGAGCCTTTTAGCATGTAGCTACTGGGTGGGTTAAGTACATCTGGTGCCTCATTTCCCAGATAGAGTGAGGCTGTCTGGGCAAAGCCCTTGCTTGCCATGTGTTCATTCACAAGGCTGTGTCCTTTCTGTTAGACCTCTGGGCATTACAAGAACATGGGCTTGTTGTGCACCAGGATTACCATTTGGAGAGCACCACTAGTGTAGGCAAGGCTTGGCACAGGTCTCCTCTCTTTCAAACAGGGGTAAGATCCACCAGTGGCCTTGCTTTCTAAACAGAGATAAGACTGCATCCCAAATACCACAGTGTACCACACCCAGCAAAAACCCTGTTAGAAATATCTGTGAAGGCTGATACTGACAGAAATATCTCATGGGCATTGCTAGACTGCTGGGATTGTCGGTCCATTGTGTGCCACAGCCTTATGTTAGTTACTATTGGCCTAATTTGGGCCTATGGGGGGAGAATGATTAAAAAACTACAACCCACGATATGCAGCACTGAACGTTTGGTGGTGATAATGGCCAAGAATCACAAACTTTGTCCATTTTGGGGCCAGGAGAGGAAATAGTTGTGCAACAGCATCACCTCCTATCCAAATTCTCTATAAAACGGGAATCAAGGTCTGAGATAAGAATCACAGCGTGAGGCTGATGCGCATGGAGGTATGTTGGCCATGAGAGTTGTTTTGAGTCTTCTCAGTTGTGACCTACATAATGCGTACTTCCTTCTCTTTGTAATTCTAACAAGGCTGGGAGCTATGTGTCTAGGCTACTGTTAAGGCACCAGCTTACGAATTCTCATTTGCATTTCTAAGCTACAGTGAGCAAAGTCCGCATTACTTCTGAACAAGAACATCCACATAAGCATGTAGTATATTTTTATCTATGTTACAGACTATCAGCATCACGTTTGTAATGATTGCATTTTAACTTTCCTGACCATCATTATTCCCACCCAGATCCTATTTTTCAAACTAAATGCTACAAGAGACATTGGTAGCATAATACCTCAGGCTACTATTCACAGCAAAGGCATCTCAGCTGGGAACAGAAAGCAAACGTGCTCTTTCCTAGTGTTTTTCTTAGGGAAAGTGTGGTCCTCTGCAGCCAAGACAGGAAAACTACCTTGCAAGTACATGTGGGTGGCACCTAGCTGGGAGCTGCCAGATCAACTAACTTGCCCCCTGCACCCTGTATCAGCCTTTATTTTGATGAAAACAGAGAGGAGAAACAATATAGCAGGTTCTCAATAGGCATAATCCCACCTACCTAATTGCTAGCTAGTTCTGAAATGGGCTCACATCACCTTCCCACTTTTACAGCCTCCTCTGCAGTAAAATAACAACCCCAAAAGTATGAGCACATTGAGTTCCTTTGACTTGCCCTGTAGCCCCACAATCACCAGACATAACAGGAGCAAAGCAAATGTAGGGGCAAGGTCTCCTGCTCAATAGCAGCTGCTGTTGGTTTGGGTCAGGCATAAGCTGAAGTTGCACCATAACCTGACACGCCATAACATGTTTTGGATAGGCCTTTCTGTTGCTGAAGCTCAGCCTTGCAGATCCTTCAGGTGAAGCCTCTAACGCAAAGGAGCAATGAAGAACATGCCAGAGCTCTCTGACAGTAGAAGATGGAAACAACAAAGGTTTGTCTGCATCTGCCGGTGGGCCTCTCCAGGGCTTTCCATAAGCCAGAGGAGCTTGTGCCTACTCTCTTTTTTATTTTTAATCTCTGAGATGCTGGTGCTGGCTGACTCAGTGCCCATCATGAAGCAACTGTGTTGTGATTTACTGCTTCATGCGGTGCTGCCACTCCATGCAGCTCCTCTCTGGAGAGTCAGGGGTGGTGGGCAGGAGCACCTGCCCTAGAAACCTGGCTTCCTGCAGGCTGGCCACCACTGTGGGGAAGTACCACAGAAGCACGGCAATATGATCCACAAGGAGGACTTGCTCCTGAAGCACACATGCGGGAAGAAGTGATTTTAGCCTGAGACTGGGCAGGTCCTACGTCAGTGAAGGCAGTTGCTGGATGCTTCATTGATTGGACCTGCCCCGCAGGTTGCAGGCTTCCCATTCCAGCACCCAGGAGTTTGTTGCCCATAATATTTGCTTGCAAGATTAAAAATGAGAAAGAAAAAACCCCAAGCCTTCTGGAAAAAAACTTAAACCAAAAAAAAACCCTCAGTCAGAAGATTGTTCTACTCCAGATAAAGAGCTATTTTTGCAAGGCAGTCAAAAGGAAAGCAAATTGTTATGTTTTATGGCCTCTGTTGCCCCCTCCAGTCCTACATTAGTAGTTGGTGCTGTTTGGAAAACAACAATCCTGGGAAAACCTGCCCTAACAGTAACATCTGAGGCTCATTATTTGATATACATCTGACACGAACTGGAAGCGAAAATTGAGATCAGCATTTCCTTTCCTGGCACTGCCAACTTTGTATTGGAAAACCAAAGCCTGTTTATAGAGGAGACAGCTTAATAGGAGCTGAAGTGAACTCACAGAGGAATTTGGAGTCCTCTCAAAACTTTCTGCCCTAAGTGTAAAACACACCTATAACCTGGTCAGTTACCTGTATGCACGTGTGTAGAACATGACACTTAAAAAAAGTGTAAGCATGTTCATTTCTCTTTGGTGGCAAGCCCATGGGCACACACGATGATGTTTGATCCTCAGCTGTACCAGTGGGAGGGAGCCCCAGCTTTACTGTCCTTGCAGAGGAGGAGGGGCTCAGCTATAGAAACAAACGGAAAAGCACTGTCTCCACACCTTTTTAAAGCCACATCACTGTGGTAATAACCAACAAATCCGATCGTTACTTTATTTACTTGACATCTGGTTCTTTTTTCAAGCCTTATAGATGGGGGGCCTTCAGTAATTTCATGCTGAGGAGTGGCACTTTCTTGGGGAGGCAGTTTTAGAGGCAGAGAGGGAGCCAAGAGCTAGTCGCTACTCCAGTGCAGATGGGGGGAGCAGGCTGTAGAGATACATACCTGGAAGAAGCAAAGGTGACCTCTCTGTTACAGAGATGCCCGTCTCGTGTAGAGACAGAAAGGAAAAGAATTCAGCACACCAGTGACACGATTGACCCTTTAATGTCCAAAACAGGTTTTTACACTCAGTTCCTCCAGGTAAGTTTTCTAAGTGAAGGCGCATTTAGAAAGGCAAAAGCATTCTCCCTCTGTCCTGGGTTCAGCAGTAGCAGTCATTTTTCTCCTTCTTGGTAGCTGATGCAGTGCAGTGTTTTGACTTTCGGCTCAGGAACAGAGCTGATAACAAGGATGTTTTGGTTTGGCCAAGGACTTTGTGAGCCTCATGCTCTGCCAGGGAGGAGGGGAAGCCAGGAGGAAGCAGAGACAGGACACCTAACCCAAACTGACCAAAGAGGTATTCCATACCACAGCACGTCATGCCCAGGATGTAACTGGGAGTGAGCCAGAAGTATCAGTTGGTGCTTGGTCGGGCTTGGGGGGCGAGTTATTGGTTGGCTGGTGGTGAGGTGTTGTATTCTCTTCCCTTGTTATTTCCTTTATCATTATTATTATTGGTGGTAGCAGTAGTGATTTGTGTTATACCTTAGTTACTAAACTGTTCTTATCTCAACCCATGGGAGTTGCATTCTTTTCGATTCTCCTCTCCGTCCCTCCCGGAGTAGGGGGAGGGAAAGAAGGGGGGGGAGTGAACGAGTTACCTGACTGGGTTTAAACCACGACACCCTCCTACCTTCAGGAGCTTTGCTGTGTACTCCTGCCATGCTTTACAGGCTGCATCCAGATCACACATCAGATGTTGTACTCTGAAAATGTCCTGCTAAAGATGACAGTACAGTGGTGTCTGGGTGCTTGTCCATCCCATGACTGAGTATGTAACAGGAGCCTTTTTAAAGGATTTAGAAATGAGAGTTTTCTGTCTTTGAAATAACAATTAGACAAACCAGGTACTCGGGCTACAAAAGTGCTTTAAACTGGGAACTAGAAAGGCCAGGTGACCAGGGTGGTAGCAAACCAGCATATCAGGACCATGCATACCTCAAACTGGAAGAACAAAGTCAGACCAACACCCACTCACCATGCACTTTTTTTCCCAGGAATGTTTGGTGTTGCATTTCTTTCCAATGCTCTTCAGGCTCGATCTCACTGTCGCACCTCTTCAAGCCACTTGCTGGCTTTGCAAGTATGAGAGACTCCTGTCAAGTTCCATATAATCAGCACTGACAACCACGCAGGCCAGAAACTGAATATTCATTACCTATCTTCCTTATTGTCCATGAGTAAGATTCTTACCAGCTAGTTTTTTGTGACAATAATAGCTGCATGTGGAAATGCAATACATTGCAGCATAGCCCACCAGTGGGAACTGGAAGGTAATTTGGAGATGATGAGGTTAAATAGATGAAGTAATGGAGGAGTGTACTTTGCTGAAAGCATATTTTAGCATACAAGGTTTCTAACTTGATGCCAGAGGACAGAGAGGATGATTGCCAGATTGATAGTTAAGAAAAATGTCATTTTAACTGACAACTGAACAAACAAAAAATTAATGAGGTAAATCTGGAACTCCAGAATACCCAGGCTTATATTGTCATTCCTGAGTAGAACAGTCTATTCACGAAAAAGTGAGTTTTCAAGGAAAATCATAGTATTTTTAAAAACAGCCTTTGATGTTTAAAATGCATACAATGTGACAATAGTTTTCAAACATACAGTCGGATTATTTCTGCTTGGATTGGTTCTCTTGTTCCTGTGATTTGCTATCAATCATGAAAGCAAAAACAGGAAGAATTTGTGGAGTAAAATTGGTTATCTGCACCAAAATTAGACATGAACTTTAACCAATTACTTGAATGATACGTTTTCTTGTAAGCACTACAGAGTCAGACCTTTTATCATGTGCAACAGACTGTTGTTACACTGTAGCATGTGCTTAATACACCAAATATTAATCATTTTGAGTAGCACAAGCACACTGCAGAGTAAAGGAAGTCTCTAAAACCTGCTATTCCAGAGAAGCGGATCCGATTCTGGTTGAAAGGCTGGAGCTCTCAAGCTTGTGCAACTTGTCATTACAGTGATACAGTTAGAGTACTTGGCAACGCAATTTAATAACCATTTTAAACTGAGGCAGTACAGGCTGCTGTGTGGATGAGAAGTCCTGTCTTCTTTTTTGCATGTCAGTGTTTCTACTTGCGCAGTAAATCAGATGAAAGAACTACCTGAAGCCATGACTAGGCTTCTACCCAAAGCTTTGTAAAACCCTGGGACAAGGGAGCAAGTGAGCAAGGGATCAGCCCCTGATTTATCTCACTATTCATCTGAAGAGCTATTATTTCTGAGCCAGGCTGGTGCAGTAAGAGCACACATAGATCTGCGTATCCACATAGAGGTTTGGTTAGCCACAAAGTCCAGAAGCAATCCTCATGCAGATGACACTGACCCACTGGAACCAAGAATGCTGCTTCCCAGGTGCAGGCTATTCACACTGGCGTTGCTTGCCTCACTCCTGTGACTGAGACACCAGAGCAGTCTGACAGCATACTGCAAAAGGCAGATCTTTCTGTGTGTCAGCCAAAACAGATGTAAATATTCCTGGCCTTCTTACTTGATTTAAAAACAAGGAAAAAACATAGCTGTAAAACCTAGTAGCTTTCTTTCTTTGTTGAAAACTATGTTTAAATAAGTGTTGCTGTTTAACTCATATGCTGCAAGGATGCTCCCTTCTGCCTGAAAATTCCTGAATGTAGGGTCTTACAGCGATAATCCAGTTTTAAAAATAGGTAGCTGGGGCTATTCCCAAGAGGAAGAAGCTTGTGGATTTACAGGGAAACTGATTCCAGTGTAAGAAAAAGGAAGCAGATATTCAAGCTCACCTGATATGCACAACAGCGATGACACTTCCCCACTGCTGAAAGACAAGGCACAGTTAGATTGCCAACCTTTCCACTTTGGGAGTTTACCTAAAGAGGCCAGAACTTTAGATGAAATGAGACAAATCAAAGCTAAATTCTGTTAAAAAACAATTCCAACTCTCTACTTTTGTCTGAAGCTCTCCTAAGAAAGACCACCATCTCAGATCTAGGTGCAAACTGCCTTGTTAGAACAGCTTTGATATTATGATAAAAGGTAAATAAAAATGGTGAAAGAGCATGCCTGGAAAATGTGTAACAAACTTGTGTAGCTGAAGCAGAAAGTCTTGTGAGGAACTGAATTAAACAAATAAAGGGTTTGCAGTATCTTGTGGTATACCGGGTATTGTACAGTTGGTGCTGAAAAAGAGCAGGTGCTGTCCCAGCTCATTTATGACCTAGGACTAGAAAAGAGAGAAGAGCTGGGGGGGTTGAGGTGGGGAGAGAACAAAAACCCCAAGGACAGTAGGAAGAACACATGCAAAACAGAGGCTTTAAAGGGGAAGGAAAACTTTGATGGCTTCACAGTGAGCAAGATGACACAATTTCTATTAGCTTTTAAACAGATTTGAAAACACTACCTATTACAGGGGTCTGGCTCATTTTACAGAGAACATACAGTCCAAGCAGTAAGCAGTTACAATTTTAAAGTAGTCTCAGCCTAACTGGCACATGAAATGCCAGTGGGAAAAAGCAAGAGGCAAAACTGTAGAGCTCCCTCAAGTTTATGTCTTCTGTCATTTGAAGATACCCACTGGAGCACACAGAGCCTATATCACAGTGAGGACTGCCATGAATTTGAGGTGAGTTAAGCTCTCTGGTGAGTGACAAAGTAAAACATTTGCTGTTATTTTTCTGAATCATCTGTTATCTTGTGCTAAGCACTTTAAAACTGCTTCTTGTGACAAATCAGGCAAATACCAAGGAGCACCCAGTCTAATGGCAAACCTGGAACTCTTCCCAGGCTCCGTATGAGCCAGGCGTTGTAAATGAGCACACACTAGACTACTGTTGCTCAGGCATCCTGAATAGTCATTGCAACAAATCACTCTTCACCATGCATTCCAGAGCAACTCTGGCAAATATTTGTCTACTAAACATTTGGTCCTATTACTACTGATATGGCGGTAACCTGTTACCAGCCAACTTTTCCTTCAAGGGACATAAAATGCAGAAGATGTTGAGGAAGAAATCCTGAAGAATAGTGTGTAAATATTTAATATGCTTTTCCTAAGCACTACCAAGGTATATGTAAATGACCATGTATTATGTAGAGGCCAAGTAATCTGCCTTAATTCAGAGCTGGAGTGGAAGGAATAAAAAAGGAGAGTTGAAGATTGAAGGAAACCTGAAATGTAAGATAACAATACCATTGGCAAGGAATATAGCAGCTTCTTTTCTTCAGCCTAGCCTCAGGCCATTTCATTCTGGTGTCATTCCAGTTGAGGCCAGCCAGCCACAGGCCACACATCATAAAAATATGTTCACAAGCAATCTATTTCCCCCCTGGGTTCTTAACCAGCACACAGGAAAGGTTCCATTTAAAAATCATTTTATTATTAACATAATCTTCCCATTTAGCCAAGTGTGGGTTACGTATAAGGAATGTTGGTAAATATTCCATTTGAGGCTTCTTTTTACATATCTCCATTGATAAATAAACTCTGAATTCACATAAAAAAGTTAAACTTAAATAACTAATATATTTTTTGTAACAGGCATACATTGGTAAAATATAAATATTCTTGTACTCAGCTTTTGCTCTAAATAGAGATAACAATTAGCTACACATCACAGTTATTAACAGCTGAAAACGAGAACTCAACTGATTTGCTGGCCTGGACTAAAATAGAGATGGAAACAGAAATTTCATATTTTGACTTTGGGCCAAAAGAGGTTGAGAGGCAGGAAGAAAACAGCTTTATTAACAGCCTTGTTAAAAATAGCCTGCTCTGCCACTGAATTCTAACTTATTCTACATTTGGTAGTTGATTCCATTATAACTTTATGTAACACTCAAGTATCACTGACAAAATATGGCACATCATCCATGAACAATATAACAATGTTTTAAAACTACCAGGGCAAAAACATAAGCAGTATGAGTGATTTGGTTCTGGCTAGTCATTTTGTCCTCTCAGCCTAATGTTAATATATTGCATCACATTACTGCTTTGGCCGCTCTCCCTCAAAAGACTGGAATTTGTTACCTGTAGCTCTAAAGTTTTTCAAACTAACCAGTAACCAGGCAGCTTGATACAATGAGTTTCCTCACCTGGAAGTCAGACCAAAATCGGTTGATCATGGTGCCCTCTCAAAGGACTCTCGGAATAATGGTAAAAGGGACCACAGGGCTGCTAGCTTCAAGCTCTAGTGCTGTCAGGAAGCATTCGGTTGCGGCATCATCATTGCCTTGAGCCTGCAGCACCTCCCCCAGGCCATTCCAGACCTCATGGGCTGTGGAATTCACCTGGACGGCATCTCTGAGAATCTTCTCTGCCAAGCTATAGCGCCCAAGCTGGTGAAGTATCAGAGCCTGCAAGAAAGCAAAGGAAAAATGGTTGAGATTGGCCACTAGGAGTTTCCAGAAGCTCAAATGATATGTCACAACATAAATAAGTGTGGTAGTTCTTGGGTTCAAAGTGTTAAAGGCTATATAACAATTTTTATTTTTTAGTTTTTATTAGAGAAATAACCTGAAGCAGGACTGGAGAAGGCTACTGCACACCAAGGAGTCAAGTGCCTTTGCATAGGAAACAAAGACACGGAAATTAAAAAACCTGAGTTGAACAATAAAAACCCACCCAACCACCAAAAAACAGTAAGTACTTGAGATTCCCATGTCAGAAGGCCTACTAAAGCATGTGCCCTGATGTGTTTGTGTCCTGCCTGCATATCTCAGCACCCAGTTCATGTCTTATAACATCTGAGATTGTCCACATGACATCATCAGCTTTCAGAGACTGCAGTAACAGAACCAAGTGGGCAACACCCACTGCATTTGATTCAACCTCCGAAACAGGAAACGTGCTGGGACTAATATTGCACCAGCAGTCTATAAAGGTCCAGCAGGCAGATAACTTCCTAAGAAGCTTCCTAGACACAGATTCTCTGTCTTCCTCTGTGGGATGGGATCCAATTCAACACCACATGATCCAAGAGGATGTCCAAACCCACTAGGATATGGGCTGAATGAGGCAGTGGAAATCTCCATCCAGCATATTCAGCTATGTGGAATGACCCTGTGAGAAAGATTTTTTCCAGGATTATAATAATGATGTTATGCATTTTTACCTTGTAATTCCATATTGCAAAATGCTTATGGACCACAAATCTTTGTTTTATAGAGAGTTCTGATTACATGCTTACAGATTCCCTCTCAGCCCCCACTCCTTGGACCATTTCTCTCTGTACCTCTGTCCCTCAAAGTATTACCAACCTAAATGCCGATGATTAGAAAACAGTGAAATTCTATGCAACCCATGAATTATTCACCATACATTTCTGGAATTCTGCCCACCAGGCTGACTTTCAGCATGGACTGACTGCTAGCTCCATCCTATAGAGAAAGAGAGCAGACCACACTATGAAGAATAGTTAGGGTTGGAAAGGACCTCAAGATCATCAAGTTCCAACCCTGCCATGGGGGCTGGAACCATCTCACCCAAGGCTCTGTACAATCCAGCCTTGAACATCGCCAGGGATGGAGCATTCACAGCTGCCTTGGGCAACCCATTCCAGTGCCTCACCACCCTCACAGTAAAGAACTTCTTCCTTATATCCAATCTGAACTTCTTCCTTATATCCAGTCTAACCTTCCCCTGTTTAAGTTTGAACTCGTTACCCCTCATCCTATCACTACAGTCCCCAGTGAATAGTCCCTCCCCAGCATCCCTATAGGCCCCCTTCAGATACTGGAAGGCTGCTATGAGGTCTCCACGCAGCCTTCTCTTCTCCAGGCTGAAAAACCCCAACTTCCTCAGCCTCTCTTCATACGGGAGGTGCTCCAGTCCCCTGATCATCCTCGTGGCCCTTCTCTGGACTTGTTCCAACAGTTCCGTGTCCTTTTTATGTTGAGGACACCAGAACTGCACACAATACTCCAGGTGAGGTCTCACAAGAGCAGAGTAGAGGGGCAGGATCACCTCCTTCGACCTGCTGGTCACGCTCCTTTTGATGCAGCCCAGGATACAGTTGGCTTTCTGGGCTGCAAGCTCACACTAAACACAGCTCATGTTCATTTTCTCATCAACCAACACCCCCAAGTCCTTCTCCACAGGGCTGCTCTGAATCTCTTCTCTGTCTAACCTGTAGCTGAGCTGCCAAGTGAGTCAGCATTTCCAGAGCAAGTTAACAGTACTTCCAATCCAAAAATCAGGTAACTTGCAGGGTCACTGATTTTTCCCTACAGGAAAGTGATTGTCAGTGACTAGTAGGTATCAGATGTGAAACTACAAAAAATGAAGCAAAGACGTGGAATATATAAAGGTGGTGTGGCTGCATGCACCTAACTTTAGTAAAATTAAAATGTTCTTAATTTTTGAGACAAGATTCTCCAATTAATTTTCAAAAATCTTCTTTTTTTTTTCCTGTGTGCATTTGTACATTTTATACTAATGAAACATGAGTTCTCTGAATATTAGTACTACTTTTTTTCCAGCAAATAAACCAGTCAATTTTCCCCTTTTGCTAAAGATACAAGCTGTTCTTTTCAAGTTTAGAGGAAACAACCAAATTTTGCAGACATAAGCTTGTTGATGGAAACAGAAACATGTTATGTCACATCTGCCCTATTCTGTACAGAAAAAAGTGCAGCTGAGATTTTACAGGTGATAGAACTAGAGCAAATACTAGCTGTTTGTTTGCTGTTACTTTTTTCTAAGAATGTAAGACATTTAGCACTAGTGAAGGAACCACTCTTGCATGAGCAATCAGGTCCCATCCTGTACCCTCATGTTTTGAAGGCACAGCTTTTTAGAGCGAGAATCTCTCAAAAGTCAAGTCTTTCACTGGTGTCTCGGGCTTCGATGGTATGAAGACTCCTGCCGTGGGTAGCAGTGCTAGCGCAACGAGCTTTGCTTCCCAAGAACCAATGGAGAGAAAACAGGACTTGTTTCATGCAGAGCATCAAAAGGACATTGATATTTGACCACTTATCTGTGGGCTGAGCTCAAACAAGCAGTCTAGAGAAAGAAGCCATAATACCCTCTGATTCATTAACTCTCTCAAAACGGTGGCCAGATGTCATGTATTTTGAGCGTCTAGTTTGTAATTCCCTTCCTGGAAGACTTCATTAAAATTCTGAGACATAGAACATTTAAAATTGTTTTCAGTCCTTGCCTGACTTTGCTCTATTAAGCATTACAC